CAGCTAGTCCCCTTCTTGCTTCTCTCCTAACTGGCCCTGACAAACAAAGACATCTCTAGACACTGGCCAAGACCCTCCACCATGCCTACAGGTTAGTGGCTAAAGCAGAAGACTAGGGGCTGGAGAGGTGGCTTGTCTGCTCTTGAAGAGGATCCAGGTTTGATTCCCATCACCCACCTGGGGGCTCACAACTGTCTGTAACTCCAGTTCTCAGGGATCCGACACCCACTTCTGACTTCTGCTGGCACCAGACATGCATGTGGTGCAGGCATATACACAGGCAAAACACTCATACACACAAAATCAAGTAAATAAATCTATAAAGGAAAAATTTTAAATAATTTTAAAAGAAGACTAAAATAATAATGATCATTACATACTCTAAGTATGGTTACAGACAAAGTCATGGAAGAAAATTTAGCAGAGATTATACAAATATTGTGTGCAGCTTTAAGAAGGCACAAAAGGCTTAGGGGGATACCCCTATACAACCCCAGCACTCAGGCTGAACTAGGAGGGCAGAGAGTTCAAGGCTAGCCTCAGCACATAGTGAGACTCCCTGCAAAAAGCTTGGAAGCCCTTCACTTTCCATAGGATTAAAATCCTTAGAAGAACTCAGAATGCCTTATATGTGTTGCATATACCGTATATGTGGTCTGTATTTCCAGATGAAGATATTGGAGTGCAAGGAAACAGAGAACCATTGCCCAAGGTCCAAAAACTGCTGGAAAGCAGAATCATAATTCGAACCCTGAACTCTATCATCCACGGGAAAGGAATAGTTAAGCATTTGTTTGGATGTCTTCTGTCTATAGGCAGGATCACATGACATTCTGGGCAGTCATCCTAACAGACTCATTCCTCCCCGGGGCCACCTTGGGACTTGGTCACACCACCTGCCCCATCAATCAAGCCACAAACTGCCCTAGTCAAGGCACATTTGTGGGACTTCAGTGGAATGCCTATCCTGGGATATCCAGAAACTCATCCCCCCACAGTCACCTGCACTCAGAAATTTCCCAAAAGCCAGGACAGGTTCCTACGGTGACCAACCATAAGGGGCCTACTGTCCGGCACCAAGGGGCACACAAAGTCAGAGAAATTAGACTCTGTGCAGCCAACTTAGACATTTACAAAGAGCATACAGGAGAGCCCATGACATTCTTTCTTTTCTTCAGGGTCTCACAAATTCAGGCCGTCCCTGAATTTTCTCTCCTTCTGCCTTAACCTCCTGACTGCTGAGATTACATACATATCCCATCATGCCCAGCTGGCCCATAGCATCTTTGAAGACTATGGCATGGGGCAACATGTCAAGCAAGGGAAGGTCAGCTCTGTGCTTTCCTTAAGAGACCCAAAAGGAATAGAGAGGAGAATGCTTCCATACCAAAGCCCAGCCCAGCCCTTCCTCCCATGCAGAAATGAATCCTGATCTTCCTTGAATACCACAGTCAGACAACCTTTTGCAGAGAGCCTCCACCTGACAAGGCAGTGGAGCGCTGCTTTGGATCAGTGAGCATTTAACCAGGCACAGCCTCTGGCAGGATGACCTCTGACTCCTTCCTTGGTCTTCCTACCAAGACCTGCATCACACTCGGTTGACTGGGCTCCAGCAGCCACCCCTCACTCCCAGCTCACCGAAGCCATCTGGAGCTTTCCAGCCTGTAAGCTCTAACACACGCAGTTCTCCGTGCATGGGTACCCACCCCTCCATTACCCACCGCCTGGAAAATTGCCACTGAAGAGATCAAATGTGCTCCCACAGTAAATCCAGCCCACCTGTTATTGGCAATAATAGACTAATAATAATAGTAACTAACATCTGTGAACACTTACGCATACAGGGATAGCCCCGAGCTAAGGCTTTACCCCCAGTATCTCTCTTCTGCTCGCTCTACCGCCTTTAGCAGGCAGCTTACCTGCATAAGATATAAGGAGTCTATGGACACCCACTGACTCAGAGCGTGAGGACTCAAACCTGCCCTCAGTCCCCACTTCTTACCGTGGGAGCTCTGACCCCACCAGGCCCTCTGTTTGCAAGCCTGCCTCTCCCCTAAGATGAGAACCCCCAGAGCTGTCTTGATTATGGAAACCCTTTGCCAAGCACAAGGTATGGAAGAGGAACCCTGGGGAAGGGGTCATGCAAAAGCCTAATTCCCAGGACAGCGCCCACTTCCCAGGAGACAGGAGGAGGCTTTCTCTGTCCCAAGAACTGTGGAAAGAGGCACTATTTCCTTATAGCAGGGGAGGAGGCAGGATCCATGAGGGTTCAAGGAAAGGAAGAAACAGGTGCTGGTGACAAGAGTCCCTTCCTGACTGCCTACCAGAACTCCACGAAGTGCTTCTACGTTCTTTTCTCTCACACAGTCCTTGAAGCCCTCATGAAGATGACAATTATGGGATTCTTATTACGGAGGGGGGCGGGGGGCTGGAGAGAGATTTACCCAGAATCCCAAGGCTTTTTAAGCTTAGAGCTGTTGTTTCAACTAGACTTATACAGCTTCCTCGATTTGCAATACTTTCACACTTTGATCGCTTTCTGTGCTACATTTATGCATGCTCCCCCCTCCCCCAGGGTTGATCTCTAAGATGTGTTGAGACAAGGGCTGTCCCGGTCTGGGACAGAGGGGGGCAGTCAGTTGGGACCCACTGTCTACATTGCTACAAGCCCCCTGAAGGCTGGGAGCACAGGGTGCTAGGGTAGGAGAAGAGGCAAGGTCAACAACAGAGGTTGTCGTGAGTCCAAACCCAGCCCTTGAATCCAGGCTGCCTTTGCAATCTGCTGGCCCAAGTTCACTCAGTTGCTGTTGGTCAGAGCGAGTTCTCTGAGGCTTTAGAACTGGGTTTTCACGAGACAGGATGGGTGGTTAGCTCAAAGGAGCCCCACAGGAAACCAATTCCCTGCTTCAGCTTCTCCTCCCTGGCCCTGGTACTGGCGCTCATGAAAACACAGAATAGCAAGATTAGAATTTAACCTCCGCTCCTCTGGCTCCCTGAACACGAAGTGCAAAGTCTGTGTGGGCACCAAACACTGACCTTGCTCACCTGGTACTTCTAGAACAGGAAATATCCCATCACAAGGGGACTTCCCAGGGAGCGTCTGCCACCTGAGCCACAAATGAGGGTCAGCTAGAAATCAAGAAATCTTCCAAAAGGAAGCCATTCCAAAGGCTGAGAAGAACCGGAGTGGTCGGGGAGAGATTGTTAAGGGAGACGGTTGACAGTCTAGTTGGCATCTTGCCCACAGCATCGCAGCGACTGAGGCAGAGAAGATGAGATTTGGGTGACAGGTGGGAGAGAAGGTGGTGGGAACGTGTGTGGGAAAGGCCTTGCAAGCAGGCAGCTCGCTAGAAGGAGTCACCGGTCCCCACCGCCTCCTGCAAGCTGGTTCTTTGTGACATAACTGAGGGAGGAAAAGTGGAACCCCACCCCCACCCCAGCCCCTGCAGAACCACCCACCAGGGCTCCACTTCTGCACCTGGCTAGGGGACACGCCCCACTCAAACCCTTACTAAAGGCGTGTTTGCCTAGTAGGGTCATCCATGATGCTCCACTGCACCAAGAGCGTCAATCGAGGCCTCTCGGTTATCCTGTCGCGACCATTGGCCCCACTTCTTACAGATCGGTGCTGATGGGGAACCGAGTGCAAGGCCCGCCCGCAGGCACACAGCTAGTCTCTAGCTGAGCTGGGCTGAGCTCAGTCTGGAAGGAGAGCTCATTCCCCCACGGAGGTTGTTTCACAAGATAGGGCATGCATGGAAGTCCCCCCACAGCACCCCCGAGGGCCCGGGGCTACCGCCAGCCCCTTCCCCATAGAGCCTGGAGGGGAACGGCGCCTGGCACTGTCGGGCTCTGGGTCCTCCACAGAGGGCGATTCACAGGCCGCACCTGGTGCTCCCGACCGCCGGGGAGCTGGTGGGCGCTTCTGACAGCAAGAACAGGAGCCCTTTATGAACAGTGTAATCACATGGGCGCGCAAGCACTGGCTTTCGATTCTGGGAAGCGCTGTGTAGCTGCATCTCTGTTCCTCCGCTCTCCAGGTTCCAGGGAGCATGGGCTCCCAGGCCCGGCTCGTGGTGGCAGCGCCCCACTGGCTCACCTAGACCCGATTATCCGCCCGGGACTGGAAGCTGCATCAGCAGCATCTTCCGTAAAGCAGGAGGCTGGGCTGGGAGAGGAGCGCAGAGGAAGAGAATCCGCATCCGCCACGAAGGCGGGTAGGAGCATCTCCCGCTCCTCGTTCCCACCCGGGGCGATCTGGGCGCTCTGTGTGACCTTGTGGGAGACCCCTCAGTCGACCTCAGGTAGGGCTGCGCCGTTTCTGAGCGTCCAGAGCTCTCGGGGGCGCTGCTCCCTGGGGGAGCAGATGCGCGGGACTCGAGAGGAGTGGAGCGCTCCGGGACAGGCCTGACGCACCCCTTCTGGGAACCACCACGCCGGGGGCTGCCGAACTGACCGCCGCGCTCTAGGGATAGGGATCCCGCAATGAGTCAGTTTTGCCCGCCGGGACGCCTGCCCCCGGGACTTTTTCCACTCCCTGCGCGCTGCCGTAGCCTGCCCAGACCAAGCGCCGCCACGCGAGGGGGCGGCGCCCCCATGCCCGACTCGCAGACCGCGCGTCCCAGGAGTCTGGTATTCTACGGCTCAGGCACTCAGCCTTGTAACCCCTGGCAGACGGTAGCCCAGACAGACAACGAACCTCACTCACATCGCCCCTAAGATCCAGCCATCACAGCTCCAACCAACAACCTGCCAATGCACCCCCTACACCAGCCTCTTCATCCGAGAACGAGACATGTGAGAATGTCCCCACTGTGGCCCAACTCCCAGGCCCCGCACCCTCGGTACCCGCCTTTCCAGCACATCCCACAACCCCAATTATCTTAAGCCACCCGCCTTTGGTCAAGGCGCCCCTCTCCGCCAGCCAGAGTGGCAATGGCCGAGACCACCTGCCTGCCCGCCCCGCAGAGCGCAAAGGAACACAGTGCCTTTCTACTCACCCGCTCTCTCGAGCCCTGCCCCGGGCGGCTCCCGGCCCCGGCTGGTCTGCAGGTCCCAGAGCCGCAGCTGGTGGTGCGGCGACAGAGCCAGCTCTGCTGGGTCGCGAGCCACCGCGCCGCCTCTTGGCTCCTCCCCTAAGGCGGGGCCTAAACTCCAGGGAAAGGGTTGGGCGGGCACAGCCCCAAGGGGCTTGCTACCGCGCGCACGCGCGCGCGTGTGCGCGCCCAACCAGATCTAGATCTTAGAGCCCTCAGGATAGGGACCCCTTTTCTGAGCTACAGGAAATTGGAAGCTGCTGAGACACAGCCAGGCTTCGAAATAGTTCTCCTGGACTTTGTCCCACCCCTAACCTTCAGTACAGACAGGGAGAAGCCCGGACGGTATTTCTGTTCCCATTTGACAGCTATAGTTAGTGAGGCCCAGAGATGGGTAGTAATCTACCTAGGGTCTCACAGGATGGGGCCAGTGCCCGAACGTCAATTTCTCACCTTAAGGCCCTGGTCAGCTTGAGTCAGAAAGCTCCCCAAATACCTGGAGCCAGGCCAGGCCAAGCCTTGTCTAGGGGACAGGGCTATATGGATAGTCTTCCAGCTGAAAAAAAAAAAAAAAACAACAGGCGGTGGCCTGTGACGTGGACTCACGTTGCTTCTTCCATCTGGAAAGAGGGGAGGTGAAGCGAAGGAGGAAGGAAGTGGTCAAGCTTAGGCTAATGTCTGCCACCGGCTCAGATGCAGAGGATCTAGACCAACCGGCTTCCTTGAGGTTTCACGCTAAGAAGCCCCAAACACCCTGAGCTTCTGTCATGTAACGGAAGCGGCTTCTGGACAAAAGGCACTGTTAGTGTGTGCCTTCCCTTGAGGGCAATGGGTTTAACTGTCTTTAAGTTCATTTTCAAAATTGCTCCTTTAAATTGTTCCCCCACCCCAGGGAGAGGAGAGAAAGTCGACAAAGAGAAAAACCCCATCCCAAACATTCTCTGAAGCCCACATTCCCTGAACACAGACTTTAGAACAATGGTGTTCTCTTCTCCACAATGGGCTTTGTTTCCTGCACTTTCCCAGCCTCCAGACTAGAGCCAGAAGTACCCCAGAGCTAAGACACTGGGGAAGCAGACAAGAGTCATAGTTTAGGATCTCGGCAACCTTCAGGAAACCTGTTTGCAGCACTCGGGCTAGAAGTCAGGACCCCAGAAACATGGCCTAAGTGCGCTGATTTCCTTTTTATCTTCTTTTAAGACAGGGTCTCACTATACAGCCCTAGCTGACCTGGAGCTTGTTCATTGTGTGGACCAGGCTGGACTTCAACTCACAGAGATTCATCTGCCTCTGCCTCCTGAGTGCTGGGATTAAAAGCCACCACACCCAGCCCCTGAATTCCTATTTGCTGAACAAACTCAGTTACTTTTCTTGGAGGAGTAAACCTGTGGGTTGATTTGGGGATGTAGCTCAGCGGGTAGTGCTTGCCTAACAGGCCCCAAAACTCTAGGTTCAGCCCCCGCACCACATCTGTCCAGTGTGGTAGCAAATACATAGAATTCCAACACTCAGGGCAAAAAGTATGAATTTGAGGCCAGCCTGTGATACATGAAACCTTGTCTCAAAATCAACAACAACAAAACCAAAAAAAAAAAAAAAAAAAAAAAAAAAAAAACAAAAAAAAAAAAAAAAAACAAAAAAAAAAAACAATGAAAAACAAAAAACAGGTTGGGTTGTCCCAAGCCTTCCCAAGTCTAAAAGTCCCCTTTCATTTTGCCTGGGGCTCCCCCTTGGCTCATTAATAATCCATCTGTGAGTGATACTGTGAAGCAGGTGGGGAAGACTCAGAGCGATGTTTAAAATAACCCATGGGGGCCATTGTCTTCGGCAGGATGTTTCCATTGATCTATAATGAAGAGTTGGGGGCTGAATGGACAAGGAAACCATCTCTCTAGGCATGCATTGAACTTAGAGCCCGTGTCCCGGAGATGAAGTCTTGACCAGGGTCAGGGGGCACCAACTCTCAGTGGTGTTACGGTTCGTTCACACCTCTCACGGTGTGAGACACCAAAGGGAAAGTATACTGCCCTGGACTCTTACTTCCTCATTTCAAACTTAACAGCAAGCTGCGGCAATCAGGACAAAATGGCAAAGCTTTAAGGACAAACATACAGATGAAGGGGCAAAACTGAGAATCCAGATGTAAGTCCTTGCATCTGCAGCCAGCCCTGTTTTCAACAAGAGTGTCAAGGCAGCTTCATGAGGAAGAAACGGTCTTTAGTAAACAGTGCTGAGAAAACTGGAAAGCCACATGCCGAAGAATGAGACTGACCCCTACCTCACACCACAGGCAGAACCCGAAATGGATTAGAATCAAATGTAAAAGCTGAAACTCTAAAACTAACTTACTTGCTTCTGGAGTTTTTGCTTTGTTTTCAAGTCAGAGTTTCTCTGTGTGGCTTTAGAGCCTGTCCTGGAACTCACTCTGTAGACCAGGCTAGCCTTGAACTCAGAGATCCATCTGCCTCTGCCTCCCAAGTACTAGGATTCAAGCCATGGGCCACCACTGCCTGGCCCTGCTTCTGGAATTTTTGAGACACAGTTTTACTCTATAGCTCAGGATATCCTGACATGCTACCTGGGCAAGGCTAGTCTTGAATGCCTGATCCTCCTTCCTGATCTTCAAATGCTAGGGTACAGGCACACACTACTACTTTTGGCTTCCAACCCCACCAACTTTCATCTCAGACTGCAGCCTACAGAACCAAGAAAAATAAATCTCTGTTGTTGAAGCCACAGTCTGTGATATTTTGTTATGACGATCTATGTATGTATGTGTGTATGTATATATATATGCATGTATTCTATTTATTGTTCTCTTATACATTACATCCCAACCTCAGTTTCTCTTCCCTCCACTCTTCACAAGCTTCCTGACAACCTCTTCACACACACACACACACACACACACACACACCACGCACACATGTATACACATGTGCGCACATTCATGTGTAAAATAAATATTTTTAAAGGGAGGAGAGGTGCTAGAGCAGAGGTTCTCAATCTGTGCGTCATGACCCCTTTGGGGGTTGCATATCAGATATTTACGTTATAATTCATAGCAGAAGAAAATGACGGCTATGAGCTAACAGGAGATAATTTCATGGTTAGGAGTGACCACAGCATGAGGAACTGCATTAAAGGGTCACAGGGTCAGGAAGGTCGAGAGCCACTAGACTAGAGAGATGGCTCAGCAGTAAAGAGCACTCAACACTCTTCCAGAAGAGTTCATTTCCAACCACATACACTGAATGGCTCACGACCATCTGTACCTCCAGCTCCAGGAGATCCAGTGCCCTCTGCTGGCCTCCAGGGCACATACACACCTGTATCCCTGCACTTGAAGTATACACAAGAGGATTATGTAAATAAAAAAATGAAATGTTTTTTTCTTAAAAGGCCAGGGACTAGAGTGTTGGACATGCCACTACACAAATAAGGTTTTAAAAAATTATCTCTTGTCTTTTAATATTGTAATATAATTATATCATTTCTCCCTTCCCTCTCCTCCCTCTTAACCCTCCAGTGTACTCCTTCTTGCTCTCTCTTTCAGATTCATGGCCTCTTTTCCATTAACTGTGGTTACATGCATATATGTCTATGCATCTATTCCTACATACATACATAGTCCTAATACATATAAATACAACCTGCTGAGTCTGTATAATGTCACTTGTATGTCTGTTTTCAGGGCTGATCCTTTGGTATTGTATAACCAAATGGTGTGCTCTTCCCTGGGGAAATACTCCATCTTCCCGCATTTCTTAGTTGCCTTTAGTTCCCTGTGTGGAGCTGAGGCCTTATGGACTTTTCCCCCCCATGTTGGCATGTCTATTGTTACTGCCTTTGTTCAGCTCAAGTCTGAGCCGCCACACTGGTAAGACATAGGTGAGTTTTTGAAAGCACACTTCTACATAAAAAGAAAAGGGAAACATGCAAGGTCACGTGCCACATGATTCTGCTGAAGATGTCCAGAACAGAGAAACCTGGCTAGAGAGCTCGCTTGATAGGGCACTTGCCTGGCACACACAAGGCCCTGGGTTTGATCCCCAGCACCGCGTAAAACAGGCGTGATGCAATCCCAACATGCAGGCAGAAGGATCAGAAGTTCAAGCTCATCCTCAGCTACACAGTGAGTTCAATGCCAGCCAGGCATACATGAGACCGTGACTGAAGATACAAAAAGAAAGAAAACAACAACTCAGTGAGTCTCAGACTCGCTGAGAGAAGAAATGCACTGATGCTTGTCCAAGCTGGGGGCAGTTGGGGGCGACTGGTAAAGGGTATTTCTCTTGAGGATGATACAGTGTTCCTTAATGCCAAGCATGGAGGCGCATACCTTTAATCTCAGCCACTTGGGAGACAGAGGCAGTCAGATCTCTGAGTTCAAGGCCAGCCTGGTCTACAGAAGAGAGTTCCAGGACAGCCAGAGCTAAGCAAAGAAACCACGTCTTGAAAAAACAAACAATCAAACAAAGAGAAAGAAAGAACCAAATGTTCTTCAGCAGATCCTGTGATGGCCACACAAACGGGGATTTACTGAAAAGTCAGCCAATCACGTCCTTCAAATGGGTGAATTACATGGCAGGTGAATCAGAACTCAATAAAGCTTTTATTTTCTTCCTTAAAGCAGCTCTTGGGTGCAGAACGCTGGTGTCCTCCAAAGTGCTCTTTGTCCCTAGGCTGGAGCACTCTAGCCATTCATTCCAAGGTCTTCTGTGGACTGTTTAGAAAGCATTAGTGCTCAAGGCCAGCACACATTGTAAGAAGCTACAGAAACTGTTTGAACAACTGAAAACAAATGAATTGTCTCCCACACATAAAATCTGAAACACTGATGGCTTATAAAGACTTAAGCAGCTACGTGACGTTAGCTCCCTTGCGCAACCAGAACTGAGTCAGTTGGAGGTAGCAAAGGTATTGTATAGTCCCAACGTTATGTAAATTCCCCATTATACCTCCAGGAGTGAACAGCTTATTTCCATGTGAAGTGAGTCCTAGAGGCCACAGGATCTGCCAAAGAACTTAATTCCAGTCCCTAAAAGGATTCACGCTGCAGGTAATTTGATCGACTAGCGC